ATAACTGACCATCATGATATGTTTACCGATGGTCGAACCCGTTGGTTATTAAGAAATTAAATAACGATGATCAAAGGCCATTGGAGAGCCACCAAAAAAGATGTTTATATCGAACCAACATTCAAAATCTCTCATTTCTTTCTCTCACACAAGTCTTCGCTTTGGAGCCCACCGACCCCTCTCGAATCTCATTTTAGTCATGGTTTACCATTTAATGAGCTTTTAAACTCAAATCATAACTAACATCAATTTCAATATTCCTTAAACTTTTTCTTTAATTTTAACTATTGGATTTTTGGCATTTTGAGATTGTTTGTGTTGGAGAAATTCAAAATTTTGATTTTGTATTTTATAATTTACAACTAATCTCTTAGGTCTTTCAGTATATAACACCTAAATTTTAATGACAAATTTCGCATACCTAACACAAAAATCTTATGTTTATTCATCTCACATCTAATCTTTCATATTTACACGCAAACACTTTGTTTCCTTAAATCCATGCATGAAAATGTGCAATTCACTTAAAAATTGATACCTGTGATGTTTTTAATGCGATATCAAAGTTTTATGTGTTTTGTATGTAAATATGAAATTTTTGATTTGAGATAAGTAAATAGATAAGAATTTTATGCATTGCATATAACAACCCCTTTTTAAAGGTAAATTTCCATACCCAACACATAACTCTTATGAATTAATGTATCTCAATGCTAAACTTTTGTATTTATATACACGACACTTCAGTGCTTTAAATCTATGAATGAATAAAATGTATTTCACATTTAAGAAGTGACAATAATGATGACTTTGTTGTTCTATTAAAGTTTTGAGTGTAAATAGCAAGTTTCTTACATGTTTGATTTATTTTTAAACAAATTTTATTATTTGTTTGTTGTAGTTGCATTTTATGAAATCTTTTAGTACTATATATATGTTATCTATGAATATTTGTACATTAAGGTTATAAATATATAATAAACTATATCCGGATAAAAAAAGACACACTGAAGAGTTCTTGAACGTTGTTGAGACCTTCGTGCATGCAACGAGATTTCAACCTAATTATTACTGTTGGACTTTCCAAGGAGAGGTTGAATTTCAATTAACTCATTTTCTTCAATGACCTATGATCCTTATTTGCAGAAGTGGTCTTCAATAGAACAAGGCACTATTATCTAAGTAAGTGGAGGAAGAGCCACTAAAACAAGAAGCTTGGTTGTTTTATGAATTACTCAATACGACACAAAGTCCATTGCGGGAAGGTTGTGCATCCCATTCCGAGTTATTTGTTGCTCTCAGAATTTTGAGAGTTAAAATAGAGTTTGACATATTGCAAGAGTACTTCAATCAGTTCGGAGGGTTATCAGAAGAGACAAATTCCAAAGAAATTTAGTTTCACAAGACTTTTATAGAATTAAAAGGCTGGTCTTCAAGTTAGGTTTAAAATCAAAGATTTCTTGAACATCGACGATTTTAATTAACTAGCAACTTGTTAATATTAATTGACAATGTTTGACCTTGAGAAATAGGCTGAATTCATGCGGAGAAGGACTTTAATTAATCTATAATTGATCGATCATGGTTAACTTGCCTTATTTTTTTTAAATGCTTGTTCATATCATTTAAAATAGGTTTCTGTATTTGCTAAACAAAATAAGAAAATAGAGAAATCCTATAAAATATTCATATTCTGAATACACCTTAATAAATTTTTATGTTCTAAAATAACATAAATTCTTAAATTTGATTTTCAAAATTTACGAACTTTTTATTGTGGTCCTCCAAGAGCATAAAGAGCTATATATATAAGAGTA